CTTATTGTTGACTCGCTATAACAGTGACCAGGGCTGCTTGGTTACTGTAGCCCTGGGCATTGATCACTGCAGCCCTGGTCACTGGTCACTGTAGCCCTGGTCACTGGTCACTGTAGCCTTGGCCACTGGTCACTGTAGCTCTGGTCATTGGTCACTGTAGCTCTGGTCACTGGTCACTGAAGCCCTGGTCACTGGTCACTGATGCCCTGGTCACTGGTTACTGAAGCCCTGGTCACTGCAGCCCTGGTCACTGGTCACTGTAGCCCTGGCCACTGGTCACTGTAGCCCTGACCACTGGTCACTGCAGCCCTAGTCACTGAAGCCCTGGTTACTGCAGCCCTAGTCACTGGTTACTGAAGCCCTGGTCACTGCAGCACTGGTCACTGGTTACTGAAGCCCTGGTCACTGCAGCCCTGGTCACTGGTTACTGAAGCCCTGGTCACTGCAGCACTGGTCACTGGTTACTGAAGCCCTGGTCACTGGTTACTGAAGCCCTGGTCACTGCAGCCCTGGTCACTGGTTACTGAAGCCCTGGTCACTGCAGCACTGGTTACTGAAGCCCTGTTCACTGCAGCCCTGGTCACTGGTTACTGAAGCCCTGGTCACTGCAGCCCTGATCACTGGTCACTGTAGCCCTGGTCACTGGTTACTGAAGCCCTGGTCACTGCAGCACTGGTTACTGAAGCCCTGTTCACTGCAGCCCTGGTCACTGGTTACTGAAGCCCTGGTCACTGCAGCCCTGGTCACTGGTTACTGAAGCCCTGGTCACTGCAGCCCTGGTCACTGGTTACTGAAGCCCTGGTCACTGCAGCACTGGTCACTGGTTACTGAAGCCCTGGTCACTGCAGCCCTGATCACTGGTCACTGTAGCCCTGGCCACTGGTCACTGCAGCCCTAGTCACTGAAGCCCTGGTCACTGCAGCCCTAGTCACTGGTTACTGAAGCCCTGGTCACTGCAGCACTGGTTACTGAAGCCCTGGTCACTGCAGCCCTGATCACTGGTCACTGTAGCCCTGGTCACTGAAGCCCTAGTCACTGGTTACTGAAGCCCTGGTCACTGCAGCCCTGGTCACTGGTTACTGAAGCCCTGGTCACTGCAGCCCTGGTCACTGGTTACTGAAGCCCTGGTCACTGGTTACTGAAGCCCTGGTCACTGGTTACTGAAGCCCTGGTCACTGCAGCCCTGGTCACTGGTTACTGAAGCCCTGGTCACTGCAGCCCTGATCACTGGTCACTGTAGCCCTGGCCACTAGTCACTGTAGCCCTGGTTACTGAAGCCCTGGTCACTGCAGCCCTGGGCACTGGTTACTGAAGCCCTGGTCACTGGTTACTGAAGCCCTGGTCACTGCAGCCCTGATCACTGGTCACTGTAGCCCTGGTCACTGGTCACTGCAGCCCTGGTCACTGGTTACTGAAGCCCTGGTCACTGCAGCCCTGGTAACTGGTTACTGAAGCCCTGGTCACTGCAGCACTGGTCACTGGTTAATGAAGCCCTGGGCACTGCAGCCCTGGTCACTGCAGCCCTGGTCACTGCAGCACTGGTCACTGGTTACTGAAGCCCTGGTCACTGCAGCACTGGTTACTGAAGCCCTGGTCACTGCAGCACTGGTCACTGGTTACTGAAGCGCTGGTCACTGCAGCACTGGTCACTGGTTACTGAAGCACTGGTCACTGCAGCACTGGTCACTGGTTACTGAAGCCCTGGTCACTGCAGCCCTGGTCACTGGTTACTGAAGCCCTGGTCACTGCAGCCCTGGTCACTGGTTACTGAAGCCCTGGTCACTGGTTACTGAAGCACTGGTCACTGCAGCACTGGTCACTGGTTACTGAAGCCCTGGTCACTGCAGCACTGGTCACTGGTCAAAAACACTCAGGTGCTCCTCCAGTGATTGCCGCTCACCTCACACTTGGGTCAGACCGTCTGCCGGGGCTCAATTCACCCGAAGGCTCTAACTGAGCAGTGTCCGAGGTAGAGCAGTGTCTGGGGTAGAGCAGTGTCAAAGGTAGAGCAGTGTCAGAGGTAGAGCAGTGTCAGAGGTAGAGCAGTGTCTGGGGTAGAGCAGTGTCAGAGGTAGAGCAGTGTCAGAGGTAGAGCAGTGTCAGAGGTAGAGCAGTGTCTGGGGTAGAGCAGTGTCTGGGGTAGAGCAGTGTCAGAGGTAGAGCAGTGTCTGAAGTAGAGCAGTGTCTGGGGTAGAGCAGTGTCTGGGGTAGAGCAGTGTCTGGGGTAGAGCAGTGTCTGGGGTAGAGCAGTGTCTGAGGTAGAGCAGTGTCTGGGGTAGAGCAGTGTCTGAGGTAGAGCAGTGTCAGAGGTAGAGCAGTGTCTGGGGTAGAGCAGTGTCAGAGGTAGAGCAGTGTCTGGGGTAGAGCAGTGTCTGGGGTAGAGCAGTGTCTGGGGTAGAGCAGTGTCAGAGGTAGAGCAGTGTCTGAGGTAGAGCAGTGTCAGAGGTAGAGCAGTGTCTGGGGTTGAGCAGTGTCTGGGGTAGAGCAGTGTCAGAGGTAGAGCAATGTCAGAGGTAGAGCAGTGTCAGAGGTAGAGCAGTGTCTGGGGTAGAGCAGTGTCTGAGGTTGAGCAGTGTCTGAGGTTGAGCAGTGTCTGGGGTAGAGCAGTGTCTGGGGTAGAGCAGTGTCAGAGGTAGAGTTTTGTCAGAGGTAGAGCAGTGTCTGGGGTAGAGCAGTGTCAGAGGTAGAGCAGTGTCAGAGGTAGAGCAGTGTCTGGGGTAGAGCAGTGTCAGAGGAAGAGCAGTGTCTGGGGTAGAGCAGTGTCTGGGATAGAGCAGTGTCTGAGGTAGAGCAGTGTCTGGGGTAGAGCAGTGTCTGAGGTAGAGCAGTGTCTGAGGGTAGAGCAGTGTCTGAGGTAGAGCAGTGTCTGGGGTAGAGCAGTGTCTGGGGTAGAGCAGTGTCTGGGGTAGAGCAGTGTCTGAGGTAGAGCAGTGTCTGGGGTAGAGCAGTGTCTGGGGTAGAGCAGTGTCTGAGGTAGAGCAGTGTCTGGGGTAGAGCAGTGTCAGAGGTAGAGCAGTGTCAGAGGTTGAGCAGTGTCAGAGGTAGAGCAGTGTCAGAGGTAGAGCAGTGTCTGAGGTAGAGCAGTGTCAGAGGTAGAGCAGTGTCTGGGGTAGAGCAGTGTCTGAGGTAGAGCAGTGTCAGAGGTAGAGCAGTGTCAGAGGCAGAGCAGTGTCTGGGGTAGAGCAGTGTCTGAGGTAGAGCAGTGTCTGAGGTAGAGCAGTGTCTGGGGTAGAGCAGTGTCTGGGGTAGAGCAGTGTCTGAGGTAGAGCAGTGTCTGAGGTAGAGCAGTGTCAGAGGTAGAGCAGTGTCAGAGGTAGAGCAGTGTCAGAGGTAGAGCAGTGTCAGAGGTAGAGCAGTGTCTGGGGTAGAGCAGTGTCAGAGGTAGAGCAGTGTCAAAGGTAGAGCAGTGTCAGAGGTAGAGCAGTGTCAGAGGTAGAGCAGTGTCAGAGGTAGAGCAGTGTCTGGGGTAGAGCAGTGTCAGAGGTAGAGCAGTGTCAGAGGTAGAGCAGTGTCAAAGGTAGAGCAGTGTCAGAGGTTGAGCAGTGTCAGAGGTAGAGCAGTGTCAGAGGTAGAGCAGTGTCTGAGGTAGAGCAGTGTCAGAGGTAGAGCAGTGTCTGGGGTAGAGCAGTGTCTGAGGTAGAGCAGTGTCAGAGGTAGAGCAGTGTCAGAGGTAGAGCAGTGTCTGGGGTAGAGCAGTGTCTGAGGTAGAGCAGTGTCTGAGGTAGAGCAGTGTCTGGGGTAGAGCAGTGTCTGGGGTAGAGCAGTGTCAGAGGTAGAGCAGTGTCAGAGGTAGAGCAGTGTCTGGGGTAGAGCAGTGTCTGAGGTAGAGCAGTGTCTGAGGTAGAGCAGTGTCAGAGGTAGAGCAGTGTCAGAGGTAGAGCAGTGTCAGAGGTAGAGCAGTGTCTGGGGTAGAGCAGTGTCTGATGTAGAGCAGTGTCTGAGGTAGAGCAGTGTCAGAGGTAGAGCAGTGTCTGGGGTAGAGCAGTGTCTGGGGTAGAGCAGTGTCAGAGGTAGAGCAGTGTCAGAGGTAGAGCAGTGTCTGGGGTAGAGCAGTGTCTGAGGTAGAGCAGTGTCTGAGGTAGAGCAGTGTCAGAGGTAGAGCAGTGTCAGAGGTAGAGCAGTGTCAGAGGTAGAGCAGTGTCTGGGGTAGAGCAGTGTCTGAGGTAGAGCAGTGTCTGAGGTAGAGCAGTGTCAGAGGTAGAGCAGTGTCAGAGGTAGAGCAGTGTCTGGGGTAGAGCAGTGTCTGAGGTAGAGCAGTGTCTGAGGTAGAGCAGTGTATGAGGTAGAGCAGTGTATGAGGTAGAGCAGTGTCAGAGGTAGAGCAGTGTCAGAGGTAGAGCACCCTCCCCTCATGAGCTATGGGCAGCGAGTGAGTAGTGGCGGTCACGTTACAAAGTTCATGGAAGGTATGGTATTGGTCCGTCTTGGTCACGTGACATTAAAGCAGTGTCGCTGTTGGTGACGACATAGCTGTGACAAGCGCCAGCCTGTTCTACTTATATATTATGATGATAACTACAGTATTATTATAACAACATGATAACAGAGTCAATGCTGAAATATATACTTGGAGTATACTTGGACTATACACGGAGTGAGTTCTGGAAGATTTTCTAATGCCCATGACTTGCGAGAGCTTGGTCCAACAGGTTGTTGGTGGGAGCGGCCAGCAGGCCCACATACTACAACCCGGCTGGTCCGGCACTTCTTGCAGGAACTTGTCTAATTGTTTCTTGAAGAAGTCCACCTTTGTTACGGCACACTTTCATAGACTTGCTGGGAGGATACTAAATACCCGTGGCTCTCCGATGTTCAGTGTTCTCTGTGCCTCTGGCAGTGGTTCGTCCTGGCTAAGAACTCGTATGATCCTCAAAGAAGGTAGAGAGGTGTTAAAGCGACCATGACAGACAGTGTAAACTGTAAATGACAATACAAATGATGCGACAGACGAGGGCACAGATGATGATACAGAGGGTACAACAGCAGGAAGAGTGACTGACCTGGAGCCGGTACAGGTCCTGGAGCGGAAGGTTACGCCGCCGCCACATGACCTGGAACAAGGAGAGGGGCCCGACCAGTCACCCCAGGGCCCTTGCTCTACTTCATTCTCCTCAGGGCTCCACTGTCTCTTGCCCCGGGTGTTGGGGCCAAACGAGTCCAAGGAGGACTCGTACTGCTCTTCCAAGGAGTCGCTGATGGGGATACGCCGGCCGTGGTGGTGGCGGTGACGGTGGTGATGGCGGCCGCACTCAACCTGTACAAGGTGGGAGTTACATGTTAGTGCACGAGGATAGAAGACGGGGAGTGGTGGTAACGGAGCAACCTGTCCTCTTACAAAGAACGTCGCATCTCGCTCGTATACGTTACCTAAGACCAAAAATTGCCGTACTAGAAAATATAAGCAGCTCGCGCAAGTGATGTACTGTCCCGTTTTCTGTTTTGGGCCCTCTGGTAGGTTAGGAGAGGACACTTTATATTGACCGTTTTCTTGAGGTTGGCAAACCTTTTGGAGGACGGGCTGGGTGGAGAGGTGTAGTGGGGTGTGGTGGTGGTGGTGGTGGTTATCTTGAGGTTATCTTGAGATGATTTCGGGGCTTTTAGTGTCCCCGCGGCCCGGTCCTCGACCAGGCCTCCACCCCCAGGAAGCAGCCCGTGACAGCTGACTAACACCCAGGTACCTATTTTACTGCTAGGTAACAGGGGCATAGGGTGAAAGAAACTCTGCCCATTGTTTCTCGCCGGTGCCTGGGATCGAACCCAGGACCACTGGATCACAAGTCCCGCGTGCTGTCCGCTCGGCCGACCCGACTCCGTGGTGGTGGAGAGGTGTAGTGGGGTGTGGTGGTGGTGGAGAGGTGTAGTGGGGTGTGGTGGTGGTGGTGGTGGAGAGGTGTAGTGGGGTGTGGTGGTGGTGGTGGTGGACAGGTGTAGTGGGGTGTGGTGGTGGTGGTGGACAGGTGTAGTGGGGTGTGGTGGTGGTGGTGGTGGAGAGGTGTAGTGGGGTGTGGTGGTGGTGGTGGTGGAGAGGTGTAGTGGGGTGTGGTGGTGGTGGAGGTGGTGGTGGAGAGGTGTAGTGGGGTGTGGTGGTGGTGGAGAGGTGTAGTGGGGTGTGGTGGTGGTGGTGGTGGTGGTGGTGGTGGACAGGTGTAGTGGGGTGTGGTGGTGGTGGTGGTGGTGGTGGAGAGGTGTAGTGGGGTGTGGTGGTGGTGGTGGTGGTGGTGGAGAGGTGTAGTGGGGTGTGGTGGTGGTGGTGGTGGTGGTGGTGGTGGTGGACAGGTGTAGTGGGGTGTGGTGGTGGTGGTGGTGGTGGTGGTGGACAGGTGTAGTGAGGTGTGGTGGTGGTGGAGAGTTGTAGTGGGGTGTGGTGGTGGTGGAGAGGTGTAGTGGAGTGTGGTGGTGGTGGTGGTGGTGGTGGAGAGGTGTAGTGGGGTGTGGTGGTGGTGGTGGTGGTGGTGGTGGAGAGGTGTAGTGGGGTGTGGTGGTGGTGGAGAGGTGTAGTGGAGTGTGGTGGTGGTGGTGGTGGTGGTGGTGGACAGGTGTAGTGAGGTGTGGTGGTGGTGGTGGTGGTGAAGAGGTGTAGTGGGGTGTGGTGGTGGTGGAGGTGGTGGTGGAGAGGTGTAGTGGGGTGTGGTGGTGGTGGTGGTGGAGAGGTGTAGTGGGGTGTGGTGGTGGTGGTGGTGGTGGTGGTGGTGGACAGGTGTAGTGGGGTGTGGTGGTGGTGGTGGTGGTGGTGGAGAGGTGTAGTGGGGTGTGGTGATGGTGGTGGTGGTGCTGGTGGTGGACAGGTGTAGTGAGGTGTGGTGGTGGTGGTGGTGGAGAGTTGTAGTGGGGTGTGGTGGTGGTGGAGAGGTGTAGTGGAGTGTGGTGGTGGTGGTGGTGGAGAGGTGTAGTGGGGTGTGGTGGTGGTGGAGAGGTGTAGTGGGGTGAGGTGGTGGTGGTGGTGGAGAGGTGTTGTGGGGTGTGGTGGTGGTGGTGGTGGACAGGTGTAGTGGGGTGTGGTGGTGGTGGTGGTGGAGAGGTGTAGTGAGGTGTGGTGGTGGTGGTGGTGGTGGACAGGTGTAGTGGGGTGTGGTGGTGGTGGTGGTGGACAGGTGTAGTGGGGTGTGGTGGTGGTGGTGGAGAGGTGTAGTGGGGTGTGGTGGTGGTGGTGGTGGAGAGGTGTAGTGGGGTGTGGTGGTGGTGGAGAGGTGTAGTGGGGTGTGGTGGTGGTGGTGGTGGAGAGGTGTAGTGGGGTGTGGTGGTGGTGGTGGTGGAGAGGTGTAGTGGGGTGTGGTGGTGGTGGAGAGGTGTAGTGGGGTGTGGTGGTGGTGGTGGTGGTGGTGGTGGAGAGGTGTAGTGGGGTGTGGTGGTGGTGGTGGTGGAGAGGTGTAGTGGGGTGTGGTGGTGGTGGTGGAGAGGTGTAGTGGGGTGTGGTGGTGGTGGTGGTGGAGAGGTGTAGTGGGGTGTGGTGGTGGTGGTGGTGTGTAGTGGGGTGTGGTGGTGGTGGTGGTGGAGAGGTGTAGTGGGGTGTGGTGGTGGTGGTGGAGAGGTGTAGTGGGGTGTGGTGGTGGTGGTGGTGGTGGACAGGTGTAGTGGGGTGTGGTGGTGGTGGTGGTGGTGGAGAGGTGTAGTGGGGTGTGGTGGTGGTGGTGGTGGTGGAGAGGTGTAGTGGGGTGTGGTGGTGGTGGTGGTGGTGGTGGAGAGGTGTAGTGGGGTGTGGTGGTGGTGGTGGTGGTGGAGAGGTGTAGCGGGGTGTGGTGGTGGTGGTGGTGGTGGAGAGGTGTAGTGGGGTGTGGTGGTGGTGGTGGTGGAGAGGTGTAGTGGGGTGTGGTGGTGGTGGTGGTGGAGAGGTGTAGTGGGGTGTGGTGGTGGTGGTGGTGGTGGTGGTGGTGGAGAGGTGTAGTGGGGTGTGGTGGTGGTGGTGGTGGACAGGTGTAGTGGGGTGTGGTGGTGGTGGTGGTGGTGGTGGTGGAGGACAGGTGTAGTGGTGGTGGTGGTGGACAGGTGTAGTGGGGTGTGGTGGTGGTGGTGGTGGACTGGTGTAGTAGGGTGTGGTGGTGTAAGAGACACGTAGGTGTAGGAGACACGGGGGTGTAGGAGACACGGGGTGGGTGTAGGAGACACAGGGAGGGTGTAGGAGACACGGGGGTGTAGGACACACGGGGGGGGTGTAGGAGACACGGGGGGGTGTAGGAGACACGGGGGGGGGGGGGGGTGTGGGAGACACGGGGGGGGTGTAGAAGGGGGGGGGGGGGGGGGGTGTAGGAGACACGGGGGTGTAGGAGACAAGGGAGGGTGTAGGAGACACGAGGGGTGTAGGAGACACGGGGGTGTAGGAGACACGGGAGGGGGTGTAGGAGACACGGGGGGGTGTAGGAGACACGGGAGGGGTGTAGGAGACACGAGGGGTGTAGGAGACACGGGGGTGTAGGAGACACGGGAGGGGGTGTAGGAGACACGAGAGGGGGTGTAGGAGACACGGGGGGGTGTAGAAGACACGGGGGGTGTAGGAGACACGAGGGGTGTAGGAGACACGGGAGGGGTGTAGGAGACACGGGGGGGTGTAGGAGACACGGGGGGGTGTAGGAGACACGAGGGGTGTAGGAGACACGGGGGTGTAGGAGACACGGGGGTGTGTAGGAGACACGGGGGTGTGCAGGAGACACGGGGGGTGTAGCAGACACGGGGGGTGTAGGAGACACGGGGGTGTAGGAGACACGGTGGTGTAGGAGACACGGGGGGTGTAGGAGAAACAAGGGTGTAGGAGACACGGGGGTGTAGGAGACACGGGGGTGTAGGAGACACGGGGGTGTAGGAAACACGGGGGTGTAGGAGACACGGGGGTGTATGAGACACGGGGGTGTAGGAGACACGGGGGGTGTAGGAGAAACAAGGGTGTAGGAGACACAGGGGTGTAGGAGACACGGGGGTGTAGGAAACACGGGGGTGTAGGAGACACGGGGGTGTAGGAGACACGGGGGTGTAGGAGACACGGGGGGTGTAAGAGACACGGTGGTGTAGGAGACACGGTGGTGTAGGAGGCACGGGGGGTGTAGGAGACACGGGGGTGTAGGAGACACGGGGGTGCAGGAGACACGGGGGGTGTAGGAGACACGGGGGTGTAGGAGACACGGGGGGTGTAGGAGACACGGGGGTGTAGGAGACACGGGGGGTGTAGGAGACACGGGGGTGTAGGAGACACGGGGGTGTAGGAGACACGGGGGTGTAGGAGACACGGGGGGTGTAGGAGAAACGGGGGTGTAGGAGAAACGGGGGTGTAGGAGAAACGGGGGTGTTGGAGAAACGGGGGTGTAGGAGAAACGGGGGGTGTAGGAGACACGGGGGTGTAGGAGACACGGGGGTGTAGGAGACACGGGGGTGTAGGAGACACGGGGGTGTAGGAGACACGGGGGTGTAGGAGACACGCGGGGTGTAGGAGACACGGTGGTGTAGAAGGCACGGGGGTGTAGGAGACACGGGGGTGTAGGAGACACGGGGGGTGTAGGAGACACGGGGGTGTAGGAGACACGGGGGTGTAGGAGACACGGGGGTGTAGGAGACACGGGGGTGTAGGAGACACGGGGGGTGTAGGAGACACGGGGGGTGTAGGAGACACGGGGGGTGTAGGAGACACGGGGGGTGTAGCAGACACGGGGGTGTAAGAGACACGGGGGTGTAGGAGATACAGGGGGTGTAGGAGACAAGGGGGTGTAGGAGACACGAGGGGTGAAGGAGACACGAGGGGTGTAGGAGACACGAGGGGTGTAGGAGACACGGTGGCATAGGAGACACGGGGGGTGTAGGAGACACGGGGGTGTAGGAGACACGGGGGGTGTAGGAGACACGGGGGGTGAAGGAGACACGGGGGGTGTAGGAGACACGGGGGGTGTAGGAGACACGGGGGGTGTAGGAGACACGGGGGGTGTAGGAGACACGGGGGGGCGTAGGAGACACGGTGGCATAGGAGACACGGGGGGTGTAGGAGACACGGGGGTGTAGGAGACACAGGGGGTGTAGGAGACACGGGGGGTGTTGGAGACACGGGGGGTGTAGGAGACACGGGGGGTGTAGGAGACACGGGGGGTGTAGGAGACACGGGGGGTGTAGGAGACACGAGGGGTGTAGGAGACACGGGGGGTGTAGGACACACGGGAGGTGTAGGAGACACGGGGGGTAGGAGACACGAGGGGGTGTAGGAGACACGGGGGGAATAGGAGACACGGGGGGTATAGGAGACACGGGGGGTATAGGAGACACGGGGGGTGTAGGAGACAC